TTGTCACACAGGTCTTTCATTTGCTTGTTTAGAGTTTACAGGATATTTTATATTGCTCGTGGCTATTGTGAAGTGTGTTGTTTCCTTGATTTATTTCTCAGCCCCTTGATTGTTTGCATATAAGAGGGCTATTGATTCTTTTTGAGTTGATCCTGCATCCAGTCTCTTTGATAAAGGTGTTCATCAGCTGTAGGAGTTCTCTGGTAGAATTTATGGGGTGGATTATGTGTACTATCATATCATCACCAAATAGGAATACTGTGACTTCTTCTTTTCCAATTGGATCCCTTTGATCTCCATTAGTTGCCTTATTTCTCTAGTTAGAACTTCAAGTATTATATTGAATAGGTTGAAGAGAGTGTACAGAGATGCTTTGTTACTGCTTTTAGTGGAATTGCTTTGAGCTTGTCTCCATTTAATTTAATGTTGGCTGCCAGCTTGCTTTATATTGCTTTTATTATATTTAGGTATATTTCTTGAATCACTGATCTCTCCAAGAACTTCATCATGAAGAACTGTTGGAGTTTGTCAAAGGTTTTTTCAGCATCTAATGATATGATCATGTGGGTTTTTTTATTTCACTTTGATTATATGGTGGATTAAATTGACAGATTTTCGAAAGGCTGGGTATTTTCTTATCCACATGCTTTATATTTAGAGAACTAGAGGAGTTTTGAGCAACTACAGTCACTGCTATGTGGGGCAAAGTACTACCATCTATAAATGTTTACTTTTGTTCTTTTGTCTATTGACAGAACGGAAATTAATTTGAAGGTTCCTCAAAATTTGAAAATAGAACTAGCGATTCCACTCCTGGATGTATCTAAAGAACTTCACACCTTACTACAGAGATTGCTGCACTTTTACATTTATTGCTGCTCCATTCATGATGATAAGGGAATGGAACAGCCTAGATGTTCATCTACAGATGAATGAATACTGAGAATATGGTACATATACAAGTTGAACCAACTATAAAGAAAAATGAAGTGACAAAAATTCTAGAAATAGGTTTAGATGTATAGTAATAAGTGAAGTGACAGTTCAAACCCAGAGAGTAAAATGCAGCCCAATGTTCTCCCTCACACACATACTAGTCATTAAAGAGGATAGACAGCAGTCTTAGTTTTTCCTTTTATTGTAGTTGATGAATGAATTAAACTATAATGAATTATGAAGATGTAAAACCCTAAATGCAGTTCTGTGACTTTAGAGAGGCCATTCTACCTGTAGAGAGGTTCACTGAGGTGCACAGAGTCAGGGATTTGACATGTGTTTACATGGCTTTTGTTGTTGTTGGGTAGTCCCTATTTAGAACTATCCCAGGATGCCACTTTACCTAATTTTAGTTTGACTCAGCATAATTTTTAAGGGAATAATATACACTCCAGGTCTGTTTGGAGTAATGTGTGCTTTTGATAGTTTGAGTTCTAGGTCTCACACATACATTATCACCCAGGAAATGGAACTTCCCTTCACTCTGTACCCACATCTTACTTTCTCTAAAGAGATGCTGCTATTTTCCTGGTGGAAAAACTGAAGCTTCTGGGAAGTAAATGCCTTCTGAACCAAATGACACTGTTAGGATCCAATCTGGGTCCAAAATATAAGCTCTCAATGTCTAAAATATCCAGAAATGTTCAAAGTAAAGCATTTAAACTTTAGACTTATTCTATTTTAGATATGGTCAACTTGATGTAAGTCACTAAGTTCCCATTTTATTATAATTTTGGTCACACAATGTCCTTTTAATAAAAATAGAAACCATTTTTATTCCCTTTTACAGAGATTTTAAATGTCAAGAACTAGCTCGTAATTTTCGCTGTACTATTTTACTCATGTATGTCTTCTTAAATTACTTTAATCTACTATATGCCCATTTCAATTTGTTGTTTTGTCTATATCTTTACTTATTAATTGTCAGTTGTGGCAGCACACTCTGGTGGGATTTGCTAAAGGAGGCAGAGGCAGAGGCAGAAGAATTATGAGTTCGAGGGCAGTCTGGGCTATACATTTTAAGGTTGGAGAGATGGCTCAGCAGTTAAGAGCACCGGCTTTAACATTTTTACCTTTTACTATAGAAACTAAGCCCCATAAAGGGAACTATTTGAATTAGAATCTTCCTGTTCTTTCAAATCTATTTTTGCTTCTTTTCTCATAACTCTTGACATATCTTTGCAAACCCCATCAGCCCCGACTCATTGTTCTCTTCCTGTTATGTAACATCTTTGAAAAGTCAATTTGGATGGTGCTTGCCATTACAGGGAAGAGGCATCCTGACTTGCATTATCATTTGGATATTTTTTCTTATTTTCCTATTGTGTTTTGTCAATTTACAAATATATTTTTGTACTGTTATGATTGTATCTCAAATGTCAAACAATTCAGGTCATTATATACTTCAGATGAGACCAATGAAAGCCTCTCTGTGGGAGTAACAAACTGTTTAGCGGCAGGTCTCTTTTATAGACCTTCAGCGATTACATAAGAGGTTTGAAATATGCAGAGAGTAAGAGACAATTAATGGTTTCTCTTCTGCTTAAGTACACAGGAAATATATTCTTTGGTGTACTTATGCTACTTTTATTATTGTTAATTGATTGTTTTAATTAACAGGATAGACAAACTATCCCAGATTTTTGTTTCCAAGCCTACCTAGGGTCCTAGCGAATCACATAATGCATAATTCTTCAAAGGTTTTATTTTGCTTTTGCTTACATTTCAGCAATGCTGTGTTGTAACTTGGGACTGCTGTGCTATCTGGTCCTATCTGTCCTCTCTTCCGACATTCTTGACTCATGCCACCCTTACAAGAAACAAAAGAAGACACCAGAAAACGGAAAGATCTCCCATGCTCTGGCATAGATAGAATTAACATAGCAAAAGTGGCAATCTTACCAAAAGCAATGTACAGATTCAGTGCAATACCCTTTAAAATTCCAACAAAATTCTTCATAGACCTTGAAAGAACATTATCCAACTTCATATGGAAAAATCAAAATTTCCAGGATGGCCAAAACAGTCCTGTATAATAAAAGAACTTCTGGAGGCACCACAATCCCTGATTTCTAACTCTACTACAGAGCAACAGTACTGAAAACATCCTGGTATTGGCATAAAGACAGACAGGAGGACCAATGGAACCGAATCAAAGACTTGCATATCAATCCACATACTGATGAACACCTGATTTTTGATAAAGAAGCAAAAAATATAAAATGTATAAAAGAAAGCATATTCAACAAATGGTGCTGGCATAACTGGATATCAACATGTGGAAGAATGAAAATAGAACAATATCTATCACCATGCACAAAACTCAAGTCCAAATGGATCAAAGACTTCAACATAAAACCAACCACACTGAACCTCATAGAAGAACATGTGGGAAGTGCAATGAATGCATTGGCACAGAAGACTACTTCCTAAATAAAACTCCAGTAGCACCGACACTGAGAGAAACAATTAATAAATGGGACCTCCTGAAACTGAGAAGCTTCAGTATCAGGAAAGCAAAGAACATTGTTAGCAAGAAAAAGTCAGCCTATAGAATGTGAAAAGATCTTCACCAACCCCATATCAGACAGAGGACTGATCTCCAAAATAAACAAAGAAATTGGTCATCAAAAGAACAAATAATCCAATAAAAAATGGAGTACAGACCTAAACAGAGACCTCTCAATAGAGGAATCTAAAGACACTTCAGGAAATGCTGAACATCCTTAGCCATCAGAGAAATGCAACTCTGAGATTCCATCGTACACCTATCAGAATGCTCAAGACCAAAAACACTGATGACAGCTTATGATGGAGAGGATGTGGGGTAAAGGGAACACTCCTCCATTGCTGGTGGGAGTGCAAGGTGGCATAGCCACTTTGGAAATCAGCATGTGATTTCTCATAAAATTAGGAAACGACCTACCTTAAGACCCAGCAATACCACCTTTGGGTATTAACCATAGAATGCACAATCATTCCACAAGGACAGGTGATGTGGGAGGTGATGTATGCTGTGAATATGTTTTATTGTCATTGGTTAATTAAGAAGCTGCTTTCAGCCAATGGCTTAACAGAGTAAAGCCAGACTGAAAGAGATATAGAGAGAGTAGGTGGAGTCAGAGAGAAGCTGTTTAGCTGCTGCCAGGGACAGATGCCTCTGTTGGAGCCTGCTGAAACTTTGCAAGTAGGCCAAGACCTTGTAGTGATGCACAGATTAATAAAATGAGTTAATTTAAGATATAAAATCTAGCTAGAAATTCTTAATCTATGGGCTAAACAGTATTGCAAATACTATAGTTATAGTTAAACTTAAAATCTTCCCTAGGTGGTCTCACAACTGCTTCTTAGTTAGCCAAGGAACCAGCATCTGTTATTCTAAGACTTAATCTGAGTAGTGTAAATTTTGTTGATAAATTTTCATGGTTCCATTAATGAAGTAATGCTTATAGTTTAAGAAAATACAAATTAACATGTACCCGACTGAAAAGTAAAATAAAATAGAAATTTCATAACAACAACAAAAAAGTGATCAGGGAACTACAGGATTCCACTTTAAAATTAGAAGAACTTACTGGGCGGTGGTGGCGCATGCCTTTAATCCCAACACTGTGAGTTTGAAGCTAGCCTGGTTCACAGAGCAAGTTCCAGGACAGGCACCAAAGCTACAAAGAAACCTGTCTCGAAAAATTTAAAAAAAGGATTAAAAAGGATATTAAAAGAACTCACTAACACTCCAGGCTGTTAGTTACCAATATGGAAGAGGGCCCTGCTGTGTCTCTATGGGAGGCAGCTGTGCATCAAATACAATGATGGAAGGTTGTGTTGTGTCTGTTCCCTGGATAGAAGTCTGTGATGGAAGTCTGTGGTGTGAGAGGCTGTGATGTGTTGCTTACTGGTTGGAAGGCCACACTGTGTGTCAGTTATGTGGACTGAATGGAGGCTAACCACCTCCATGCCGAGTCTTGGCGTCGACAGCACGACTCTACTTTGTGAGAACTCACCTTGGGCAGCTCCTCAATCTGATTGGCATCCAGATAGAGCTCCTCTAGCGTGCGTTCGAAGTTGAAGACCTCCTTCGGCACCTGCTGCAGGCTGCAGTGGGAGTAATCCAGCACTGAGATGATCTCTTCCTCGCCGCGGAAGCAGCGGCACGGCACCAGGCGGCCAATGAGCTTCCGTTTGGTGGTCATCTCCAGGCACTGCACTGGGAGAGAACACACAGAGGTGTTTAGCCCTGACACTCAAGGAAGAAGGCTGCATCCTCACCCCAAACGGCTGGCTACAATACTGCGGTGCACGTGAGCTCTACGGGACACGCAAGCATCACACTCTTGAGCCCTTTAAGTGGAATCAGGCCCAGGGCAACTTTCACAGACTCTTTCGGAAGAGTATTCCATTTATGCAAAAACAGCCAAATTTCACCCCAGAGTTTATGATATTTTTGATCCATAGACGAACTCTATGAATGACTTTATCCGGGTCCACCAAGGTTTCACACTCTAATTAAACACTATCTTCATGACGTCTACTCTCTTGGAACCACAGAACCCTGATTCACATAGAGAAAAAATGGGTTTATAATCATATTGGAAATTTCTAGGAACCCCCTCACATATCTCTTTCTTATCTCTCTAAGTTAAAATGACCAAAGGCCTTGCAGGCTTACACCATGATTTTGTCAACACTAAACTTATTTTACACTCCCAGGATAAGCTTTTGAGGGTCACAAGCAGGATTTTATTTCTCCTGGTATCTGTCTTTAGTGGCTGGCAATTGATAACTGTTTATTGACTACAGAGTGACAGGTGAATGTATGAATGAGTAAATAAAGGCTTGAAACTCTGATCCTGATCGCTATCAGTTATGGGTAATTAACTTGAGAAACTTCTCATTCTAACTAAAGGCCACTCTCCCTGTGAATGTGCCCCCTGGGAACAATGAAGACACTACTTCCTAACTGTGTGTTCTTTCTACACATAAGGATCCTGAATTCTTCAAGGAGATCTTGACTTATATATTCTTAAATATACAGTATTTGATATTTAGCTCAATATACATCATATAAGATATAAAATATTTTAATTAAATATATCTTAAATATACATTGATATAGTTTGATGAATATAGAGTTAGTATTAAATGAACATTAATTCAAAGTTGGCACTTAATTTGTAGTTTTTTTGTGTTTATACATATATGTGTGTATATTTGTGTGTGTGTGTAGGTCAGAGGCAATCCTCAGGTATGATTCTTAGGAGCCATTCACTTTTTTTTTGTTTGAGATGGGGCTCTTCTTGGTCTGGAGCTTGCTGAGTAGGCAGGCTGACTGGACAGAAAACCACAGGGGTTCTCCCCTCCCCCACCCCGTCTCTGCCTCCCTAGTGCTGGGATTGCAAACCTACATCATCAAACCTGAATCTTTTTTTTTTCTTGTATGGGTTCTGGAAATTGAACTCAGGAACTCATTTTTGTGCGACAAACATTTTATAACTGAGGTATTTACCTAGCCTATTAATTAGATTTTTATTTTTTAGAATAGAAAGTTATTGCTGAGGGGTAGGAGTGATAGCTTAGCAGTTAAGAATGCTTGCTGCTCTTGCAAAGGACCAGTGTTTTGCTTCAAGCACCAACTCTAGGTAGCTCTGCAGGCATACACACACACACACACACACACACACACACACACACCACACAGTCTTTAGAAGTGTATTGTTTAAATAAAAAAATATATCCATTTATTAAAAAGTTAGATAGCATTTTGTTTTTTTAAAATTGCATAGTTTGAATCAGATTTGCAAGCTACCAGGTACAATTTATTTAAAAGCTGCAGGGTTTTTATTCAAGGATGTCCTTGTGTCTCCTTTAACTTCTGAAATTAGTGCAAAGAAATTCCTGGGACAGGTTAGTGAATGAACATTTACATATATATATATAAACATGGAAATATGTAGAAAGCTAACTGAAAGCCTTTTCCACCACCTTTTATTATTCCTTCTCTGACACTTACATTTCTAGAGGATGAGTCACAAGACTAGGTAACTACTGTTTTACCAAATTTTATTGAAATTGTGGGCTTGTGGGACGCCTCGTCTCTACCTGGAATCTAGCACATATTAAGCATCCAATAATGACCCTAGCAAGTGAGTGGCGTGCCCTGGTTACCTGGTAAACATGTGTGGAGTACTTTGCAGTTATAAAGGCAAAGATAATAGGCTGTGGTTAGCAGCAAATTTGTGGTATGGAGGATAATTTTGTGCTTTTTGGGTGAGTTAAAATTGCATTGTTTTATTTTTAAAAAATATTTACTTTTGTGTGTATCCATGTGAGTGCATGGACATATGTATGTGTGTGCAGGTGTGTACACCTGTGTAAATACACAGAAGCTGGATGAGGGTGTTTGGAGCTTTCCTCAATCGATCTTTGTCTTTACATTTGAGGTGGAGACTCTCCTGGGACCTGGAGTTTGCATTTTCTTCTCTAGGCAGGAAGTCAGCAAATCCCAACAATCCTGTCTCTGCCCTCTTCAGAGATGGGGAAACAGTAGGCATGGGACTGGCTTGGTAAATAAGCTTTGGGGCCAGAATTCCAGCCTTCATGATTGGGCAGCAAGGGCTCTTAATCAATGAAACATCCTTCCAGCTTCTGCTTGGTGTATCTCTTGCCTGTTTTCTATGTACCCTTCATTGGTTCAGTTCCCTGGATGTTTCTCCTAGATGGATGCTCCACTGTCATCAGTACTCTGAGAACAGTTCTCCCCACTCTCTTCTGGAGCTTCTGCTTCTGCAGACCTAGCAGAGCTCCTCCTCACCATTGCCCTGTGACGTCTACACTTCCTTCCTGTGTTAGAGCCTCTATTTTCTAGTTTGGATGCCTTATTCCAAAATTTTATTTTATTTTATTTTTTCAGTTTGGCAGAAGATGGCTTCCATTTACTTGCTGAGAAAGAATGTAGAGTAGGTATTTATTTATTTATTTATTTATTTATTTATTGAGAGCTTGCAGCCTAAAGATGTCTTATTTACCCACAAAGGATTGAAAAGTTCAACTTGATATACATTTCTAGGTCAGAAGTACTTTTTCTTTATAAATGTGGAGGCACATTTTGGTACCTTGTAAGAAAGCCCAATTTCATTCCTATTTAAAGCCCTATTTCACACTCAACTTCTCCAGCAGACAGTTTTAAAATTTTATCTCTGGTCTTAAACATTCATGACAATGTGCTTTGAGTTTTCTTAAATTGTTCTTGATTCTGATGGGTTTCCTTTCCTGCAATCCTCACTATCTGAATGAGAGAACTGTTTCTTAGATATAGCCTACAAGTCAATTATTTATTCTCTAGCAATTTCTATGTCATCGTACCTTGTCTCTATTTTCCAGGAAGCTTCCTCAAGTTTATTTCCTAATCCCATGTAATGACTTTTTAAATCTGACAGTGCATTTTATACTTTACGAGAGTTGTGTGGTGCATTCTGCACGCTCAGCTTTTACAGCTCCCTGTTTGTGTGCCAGGGGTCCGTGTCTTCTTCGTTTCTCTCAGAGGATGTCAACTATAGATTTATGTTTCCCTCCTTGGTGCTTGTGTAGCTCCTGAGTTCCACTTTGTGTCCTTTGGTCCTCTTCTCTCAGAATAGACGCTTTCCTCAAATATCCAGCGATCTGTGGCTGTCTTCCAACACTGAGTGATCCTCTGAAAGGATAATTGAAGCTCTGTGTGCATGACAGGTTTCATTTCAGAATAAACTGTCATCAAGCCAAAGAAAATTCTAAAGGATGTTCTGGTCATCTACCTGAGCTGGAAAAATGCTTCTCTGCACAGGCAGTTTCCTACTTTTGGCATCAACTCCCCGCTTGCTTGTGTGTTGTGTTCATATGTACGAGTGTTTCTGTGTACACGTGTGCATCAGTGCACAAGAATACAGAGGTCAGAGGTTAACCTCTGGTATTGTTCCTCAGGACTCACCCGCCTTGTATTTTGAGACTAGCTCTCTTAATTTATCTAGCCTGTCAGTGCTAGGGGATCCTCCTGTCTTTGTCTCCATAACCCTGAGATTGTAAACATTAATTAATTATACCTGTATTTTCACATGGGAATTTTATATACATCCAGAACCTCATGCTTGCACAGAAAACACTAACTGACCAAGTTTTCTCTAGCTACTCTTTAATTTCTTGTATCTTATTTGTTGTCTTCAGTTTTCATGAGTTGGAAAATCAACTCCTATACCTTAGAGAGTATTTTATAATGTAGTTAGCATCAGGCTCTGAATATATATATAATGCATGTGTGTGCTACATTCTACCCTAGCTTCTAAAATCATGTTGAAGTTACATATTAGTATCTCCTCATGTCTCCACAATAGGGAGCATATACATACACTTTAAATTCCTTTTAGTCCAGTGGAGTCTTTCTCATAAGAATAGATAAATCAACAATGGGTATGTCTGAGGGAGGTTTATCTCAATACATTTTATTTTTACAATCTTTCCCCAGTTGACCGGCTGGTCCATAGTGGTGTTTAGTTTTAAGCAGGAATATTACAAACTTCTTTGGGAAAATTCTCTTCTATTGACTCTCATGATGCCACACTCTGACTTCAGAATCTAATTTCACACTGGGAATGTCACACCTGCACTCACAATTGGTGTTCCATTGTTCTGATCAAAATAGATTCCCACAGAGGTTCTCTTCTTTAAGTCTTTTGAGGGTCAGTTATCTACACTGAAGATGTGCTCTATGGTATTAGTTTTCTCTGGACATGCTGTTCTTCCAGTTACACAGTCTCATTCACATTTCCCAATACCTAATTCAGTTATGTAAGCGAAGTAGAAAGTGGATGCCCATAAAAAATCTTTAACAGATTTTCCATCAAAGATATTATAAACAATAATGTTTTCAGAACTGAGCTGATGTTCATGAGAGGCATCTCATTGTGGGTGACCTTGGACTCTAGAACAGGCTGCCTGGATGTGTGTGTGTGTGTGTGTGTGTGTGTGTGAGAGAGAGAGAGAGAGAGAGAGAGAGAGATTGCACATTATTCTAATTCCCTTGATTTTATCATCTAAAAAAGCCTCAGTATGCGTCTAGTGTAAAGAATTAAATCTTCAAGTCCGAAGCCAGCACTCTTCCACCTATACCTCCCAGTCTCAGGATGAGATCTGTAATGTGTGTAATGCTCATAGATCTGGCTGGGAACTTCACATCTC